AAATATCGACATGAGAGAAACACATCGATTGGTTGCCTCCTGCACCTGGCTCAACCAGGGTCCTGGCCAAGGAGGAGCCTGCAACTGAGGTGTGTGCCCTTGACTGGAATCATACCCAGGACCCTTCGGTCCACAGGCCAACCCTCTACCCACTGAGCCAAACTGGCTAAGGCTGCTTTTCATATTTTTTAAACTAGTCAGTCATAACTGTCTTCCCTGACTACTTCCTTCACTCTCTAGATTTGAAAATAGACCTAGTCTCACCCTAATGGCCTTGTACATGCAAAACACTAAAACAGTATGAATAAGCTAGCAACAAAACAAATCTTAAATATCTAAATACTTAGTACAAAAATATCTGAACAAATATACAATATAGAAACTATCTTATCCAAATGGGAAACCTAGAAACTAAGTAACTTTTTTTAAAAATATATTTTCATTGATTTCAGAGAGGAAGGTAGAGGGAGAGGGAGAAACATTAATGATGATATAGAATCATTGATTGGCTGCATCCTGCACGCCCCACCCTGGGGATTGAGCCCACAACCCGAGCACGTGCCCTGACCAGGAATCGAACCGTGACCTCCTAGTTCATAGGTCAACGACCAACTACTGAACTAGATTGGCTGGGCAAATAACTTTTTAAAATACGTGTACAGTGAGGTTTGAAAATTTAATCACTGAATCCTTGTTTCAGAGGAAATCATATACAGGGTGTCCAAAAAAAATGTATATACAGTTTAACAACTGATAGTTCAATTTTAAAAATGAAATGTATTTTAATAAACACTGCCTTTATAAGTATTCAAAATGAGTGTATACATTTTTTGAGAATATATATTAGAGGCACGGGGTGGAGGGGCCATGAGGAGGGGTGTAATGTGTCCCTCAGCCCAGCCTGCACCCTCTCCAATCTGGGACCCCTGGAGGGATGTCCAACTGCCTGTTTAGGCCCGATCCCGGGAACAGGCAGTCAGACGCCCCTCTCACAATCCAGGACTGCTGACTCCCAAATGCTCGCCTGCCTGCCAGCCTGATCACCCCCTAACCACTCCCCTGACAGCCTGATCTACACCTAACTGCCCTCCCCTGCTGACCTGGTTGCCCCCAACTACTCTCCCCTGCAGGCCTGGTCACCCCTAACTGCCCTTCCTTTTAGGCCTGGGTCCCTCCCAACTGCCCTCTCTTGCTGGCCATCTTGTGGCAGCCATCTTGTGTCCCCATGGGGGTGTCCATCTTGTGTGTTGGAGTGACAGTCAATTTGCATATTATCCTTTTATTAGATAGGATATATATGAATCTAATGAAAACTATAGCTCCAATCTTGGGAAACACATATATACAAAATTCTATGGGAAATCTTAGAGATTTTGTCTCCTCCAAAGGTCATCCACAGAAGTCCCTCCCAGGGGTCCAAGGCCTCCCAAGTTAAAAAACATATATATCTAGATATATTAATATAAAAAGCCAGCAACCAGAACACCAGAATGACCAGTCTCTATGATGCCCACCAGTGTCCAACCTCACGCAGTCCCCCCCCCCCCCCCCCTCCGCGCGGGGCCGACCCCCAATGGGCTCCCACCAACCCAACCGGCCCACAGCCTCCCTCCCCTGATTGCCCCCCACCCACCCCAATCAGCCTGCTGCACCTCCCCTAGCTGGCCCTGCCCCTGACTGCCCCTCCAACCCCATAGGGGGTAGGGCCAGCTGGGCAGGGAGAGGGGCTGCAGGAGGTTGGCTGGCTGGCCCTGCCCCAGATCAGCGCCTGCCCCGCCACCCTGATCAGGGGCAGGGTCTGCTAGCCAATGTTTTGCAGACCCTCCCCCCAGCCAGCCCCGCCCCAGATGGGCCCCCACCACCCTAATCAGCCCACAGCCCCTCCCCCCAGCCAGCTCCAACCCTGATCAATTCCCCCCACTCTGATCAGGGTCAGGGCTGGCTGACCAACCACCCATGGTTCCTCTCCCAGGCCGCTGGCCCCTAATTGCCCCCCCACACATTGAGGGGGGGGGCTGGCTAGCCCATCATCCACAGCCCCTCCCCACAGCCGCTCCATCCGGATAAGCTCCCACCACCCGAATCAGTCCGTGGCCCCTCCCCACCACCACCAGCTCCGCCCCAATCGGCCCCCCCACACCAATCAGGGATGGGGCTGGCCAGCCAACTTCCCACAGCCCCTCCCCACAGCTGGACCCACCCCCAATAGCCCCCCCATCCCAATCACCCATGGGCTACCAGCCAATCACCCATGGACCCTACCCCCAGCTATCCCAGCCCTGACCTGATGGTGCGCGCTGGCCAGCCAACCTCCCGCCATCTCCTCTTCCTGACAGGCCTGGCCCAAATATGCCCTGATTGGGGCTGGGCAGGCCGGACTCCACCCATGCATGAATTTGTGCACTGGGTTTTAAGTCTATAGTAATAAAAGTCTAGGTGGCCCTCGCACTCGATGTCATCACAATATGGCCCCACAAGATGGCCACATGCACAGTGGTGGTGGGGCCTGGTGGCCACTGCATGCAGTGAGGCCTGGAGGTCCCGTGGCTCTGTGCAGTGCAGAGTAGGCCGGTCCCAGCATCTGTGCACCTTGGGTGGAGAAGGTGGGTCCCGGAGGAGAAGGTTGGTCATGGCAGGGGAGGGCAGTTGAGGGCAATCAGGCCAGCAGGAAATGATCGGGCTGGCAGGGGAGGGCAGTTGGGGGTGATTGGGCAGGCAGGGGAACAGTTAGGCGTCAATCAGGCCGGCATGGGAGTGGTTAGGGGGTGATCAGCTGTCAGGCAGAAGCAGCTAAGGGCAATCAGGCAGCAGGCAGGTGAGCAGTTAGGAACTAACGGTCCCGGATTGTGAGAGGGATATCCAACTGCTTGCTGGTTGAGGCCTGATCCCGCAGTCAGACATCTCCCAAGGGGTCCCGGATTGGAGAGGGTGCAGGCCAGGTTGAGGGATACCCCCTGTCCTGTGCAAGAATCTCATGCACTGGGCCACTACTGTGTGTGTGTGTGTGCGCGTGTGTGTGTGTGTATAATATTCTATTCGTTGGAATTTTGTTATTTATAGGCTATAAGTCCTTATGAAGCACTTTCTACCAAACTACTAAAAGTAGTAGCTATTCTTTTTATTCTCAAATTAAAACTTTATAAAGTTGGGTTATTTCATTTAGTATCTTTTTTAAAAAATATATTTTTTTTTTATTTTTTACAGAGAGGAAGGGAGAGAGCTAGAGAGCTAGAAACATGGATGAAAGAGAAACATCAACCAGCTGCCTCTTACACACCCCCTACTGGGGATGTGCCCCGCAACCAAGGTACAAGCCCTTGATCGGAATCAAACCTGGGACCTTTCAGTCCACAGACCGATGCTCTATCCACTGAGCCAAACCAGTTTTGGCTCAACTAGTATCTTTCACAACATTTTCTATCACTTTTCTGAAAAAGACTTTATGAGGGAACTGGTCATTTTGTGACAAATTTCAGAGAACATTAAGAGAAAGGTGACAGGAGAAGAAAGCAAAGGAGAGGAATAGTTGAAATACTGTCCAGAAAGGGAAGTATACAGTCTACGTACACAATAAACAGTGCTTTATTAATGACTTTGGATACTTCAGAGGCCTTTTTAAAATTAAATGTGTAAAAAATAGTCTTCATTTTACAAGTTCAAAATCAGACAAATCATGAGAGTCTGTAACTGTCATATTTATAAACTGTATCAACCCAAAAACTCACAAAGGATACAATCCATGTTACATTCCACATCTGCATATCTACATGACACCTCCTACACAGAAACACAAAATCAATCCCATCATTTTAGTTCAGTGCATGGGAAGTAGTATCACAACAAAGGCAACATTTTTCAACCCAAGTACAAATTCATTATTTTGTGCAAAAATACAGTATAATCTGTCCAGGATTAGTTAGTAAGATATGTTTCTGTGTTGCTGAAATACAGCTAAAGTTTTCAATTTTAATTACAAAGGTAATTAAATGTAATTAGTTTAGTTACCAAGGGAATTACTTCTGATTTACAATTGACCTAAATACAGTGGACTAGAAGCCCGAAGCATGAGAGTCATGTACTATGGGGGGTCCCTCAGCTTGACCTGCGCCCTCTCACCGTCCGGGACCCCTCGCTCTTTACCGCCTGCCTGCAGTGGAGGCAGGAAAGGCTCCTACCACCACCACTGCGCTTCCAGCCATGAGCCCGGCTTCTGGCAGAGCAGCACTCCCCCTGTGGTAGTACACTGACCACCAGCGACAGTTCCTGCATTGAGCGTCTGCCCCCTGGTGGTCAGTGCATGTCATAGCAACCAATTGTTCTGCCATTGAGTCAGTTTTCATGTTATGCTTTTATTATACAGGATGCCTTTTTTTTTACTTTTTAAATAAAATCTTTATTGTTGAAAGCCATTACATATGTTCCCTCTTTTCCTCCATCAACTCTTTTAGCCCACCCCCATCCCATGTACCAGACATTTTAAAAAACATATAAACTTTTATTGATTTTTTTTGAGAGGAACAGGGAGAGAGAGAAACCTCGATCAGCTGCCTCCTGCATGCTCCCTACTGTGGACCAAGCCCAAAACCCAGGTATGTGCCCTGACCGGAATGGGAACCTCTTTGTGCATGGGACGTGCCAGGGCTAAAAATAGCCTTTTTAAAAATCTTCAAAGTTAAATAATACAATTCTAAAAGCATATGTGCCATTCCACTCATTCAATAAACATGATTTACCTTAATACAGGTCACAAAAGTTCAACTGATTAACCAGAGTTCTTTATTTCCTGCCTGCTATCAACTTCAGTCTTAAACCTGACTTTATATCAAAAGCAGCAGTTCAGAAATTATTTCATAAGATTAATCCCAAAAGTTACTGGGTGGCTTTTTAAACTATTTCACTCTTTATAAATATAAATCACTAAAATAGTCTAGACCAGTGTGGGGAGCTCTTTAAAATTTGTATGTCCCCACCTCATGATTAAAGAGTAAGAATCTTCCTAAATTTCAAGTGTTTTGTTTTGTTTTTCAGTTCCCAGGTGATAATAATATGTAACCTAGTGTGGGAACCTCTAACTTAAACCACTAGCAAGTGTTTTTCAACTCTTAAGATACATGAATCACTTGAGGGAACTTTTTTTAAAAAGCAAAACAAACAGAGTTGCTTCAGCAGACTGAGAGTGGTGAGCAGGGACCAGTGTTTAAATAATCACTGCAGCTGGTCCACAAACCACTCAGAAACAAAGCACAGCCTTTGTCAGATTTTAAATGAGTACATTCAGCATGCAGGTGACACTGTACTGCAAGCACTATTGAATCCTGCCCTAGGCCGTTTTAGCCGGTATCTGAGGGCAACATGTAGTCTTTTAAAATAAAATGTGTTCTTAAACATAAGGTCAAAGTCAAGAGAACTGTGAGATCATAAACCATTCATTAAAGAAGGAAAGGGCTTTCAAGCTATTTAAACCTTTCTTTAACCAGACCAGTTCTTCGCATGCAACTTACTAAATCTAATGCTTTTCCATCACTAAGTATCCTGATATGTGATCAGACGCTGACTCTGGCTTACCAAAAACATAATGTACACTATTAAAAAATATACCTTCTAATCACACACCTTTACAGATTCTGTACAGTCTCTATGTAACAGACTGGAGACCAGCCAGACATTTAAGAATACTAAAAACAGTAAATAATAAACTCTCAATTTTAAAAACAATAAAACTTCACATTTCCCTCACATAAGTTTCTACTTATAATACTGGGGGGAGGATATCTAGAAAACACTAACAGTATCATGCTGCCTCTTTTGTGAAGAAGCTATCTACCAATTTTCCACAATTCTTATCATTATCTACAAAACCAGTAGTTGATATCCATCAATCTACTCTCAGCATTTTTTTTTTAATAACCACATGTAAAGCCACACAGCAAATCAGAAGACAGAACTAGCAATGAGACCTTCCATTTGAAAAGTTGAGCTCACTATTGTATCAGCTTGACAACCGTATCTCAGTGTGTGACAACTCTTACTAAGTATTATAAATATTTAAGCATATTTGAGTGTGTGGCAGCTCTACCACCACCCCTGCCAAACTTTAGATACAATCTACTCTGAACCAGAAGCTACCTAAGAACTAAATGGCAACAATACAAGGAAGCAGAGTGCATGGTTAGTGGAATCTATCTGGCATCGTGCTCACCTCGCCTATGCCTAAGAAGCTATTATTTAGTGTGTATACACTTTTCTATCATGTTCTTCACAAAGATTAATACCATCACCTCTTTTCCAGTAGCATATGTGATTAAACAGCTGGCATTCCTTCGTAACCAAGAAATGAAAAGGCAATTGCCAAAAACCAGCATTGGATCCCAAAAGAGGCAAGTCATTTCATAAAATAAGAAACTGAAACTTAATTCCACAGTTATTCAGAAGCTAAAACACTCATACTAATTTTTAACCATTTAAAGTCTAGTCTGTTAAGAAAACAATCAAACCATTTTCCAGTTAATAAGTGATTCAAGGCCAAAATAATGAATTTTAAAATTAAGTAAAACAGAAATTGAAAAATTACCCATAAATATCCAACCAAGTGACATTTTTGTCTTTTACTTGGGGAGTGGGGAGAGAAGAAGCGTCTTAAATGGCTAAAATGAACACATAGAGACAGCACTCTTGGGGAAAGGATTTCAAAACAGGACACAATGGTATAAGGCACTACCTTAACTTCAGTCTGCACTTAAGTCTTCTTAAATGCAAAGCACGTGGGACAAGGGAGGGAAGGACACACAAACACATTCAACTTTTCATGTCCTTTTTGCCGGTTTGGCAGTTAACTGCTTTTCTCTTTCAAATTCCTTCTCTCGTTGCTGCTCCCTTTCCAACTCTTCTTTCTGCCTCTTCTGCTGCAGCTTAAGTGCTCTTTTCTATATCAAAAATTCAAAAAAATGAGAACAATCAAGGTAAATAGATTATGGCCTAATTTAAAAATGCTTTTGTTTGAGTAATCAATACATATTAATACATTTCATATTTAACTTATAAATTCGTTCTGGGTAATTTAAGGTCTCCTTGGAACAAAAAGAAAAAAAAGAATTGTTACTCCATTAAATGAGGATTATAGTGTCGTATTCAGAGAATAGGAGCTTATAAGCTCAGCCTTCGGTAAAAAAAAAGCCCAGAGTGGGGTTCAACTGGATGTTTTAAAAGAAAACAAAGCACCATGAATTGAGCATATGATTATATATGGGTATATAAGAAGTCAGAAATGAATACTGAAGACAGACAATTACACCTCTACTTTTAGAAAGAATATAAAAGAACCTGCCAACTCACTTTTAACTTTGACGTCTTTTCATGAAGCATCAGCATTTCTTTCCTTACATTCACCAACTTGGCATGATAGTGTTTGGCTTCAGTGAACTTAACATGAAAAAATAAATGAAAAGTCAAATTAAAGTAGACTGAAATATCAAAATGGATAAATAAATCAATGCCTGCATTACACTTCATTCTTCCTAAATTGGTCAAATTTTTAAAGCCTTAATTATTTCCACAATTTAAGTCCAAATTTAAATTTTATTTAAACCACTAGAATTTTGAAAACACTTGATTCAGTTCAGATTGATAAAAAGTTACTAACCATAAAATAGGCATTTATTTTGTATACAGATACATTTTTGCGTTAAAAACATGCAATATAATCCTAAAATTCGGTAAGACTTCCCAATAATACTGTCAGCTTCATCTGAGAAAAGTAAAACTCTCTACTGCCTTTGCAAGAGAGAGACCAAGCCAGGATAAAGGACAGTTGAAGTGTTGCCCATCAGGAAAAGGCAAACTGTCTAGAGAGCCCTGTGGGCTTCTGAAGTCAGACCAAGCAGAACCACCTCCGTAAGGACACTTCTCCCACGGAGTTACAGATGTAGATTTTTCTATCTCACCCAGAGAGCTCTCAGGCAAGGTAAGAGAAGATCAGGTAACAAAATTGAGAGACGTGTCAGTAGAGATACTAGCAACCTTCATGCAGCTATACGTAAAGGCATAGTATGGTGAGCTCTAGAGCTTACAATCTCTCTCTCTCTCTCTCTCTCTCTCTCTCTCTCTCTCTCTCTCTCTCTCTCTCTCCCTCCCTCCCTCCCTCCCTCCCTCCCTCCCTCTCTCAACTTTCCAGTTTTCAGTTCCTCAATGCTAATCAGAATCACTACGGTGCTGAGAGAAGACAAAAAAGGAAGTCTTAGTTTCTGCCCTCAGACAGAAGCAACAGTATTACATCTGCCTGGCTCATTTATCATTCATTCATTCAACAAGATTTTGTAAGTCAGTGCAGTCTTGCCTGCCTCCTTCACGAGATGTCAGGAACTACAGGCAGAAAACTTCCATTTACTACCACAGGCTTCTGCCTAATGCTAGAGATGAAATTCCTTTCTGATTGTTATAAAAGGAAAACATTAATAAGCCATATTTGTCCAGTGAAAAATCAATTTACTGAGGTATGTGTGAAAAGTTCATAAAAATTATGCAAAAGAAGGTATTTGTAATGTTTACGCTGAAGAGGAAGGTAGTCCTAAGTTCCTTATTTTTGTTAATTCTTGTTTCTTAAAATACTAGTAAAGAGTATCGGTTCCTCTCATCTAAAAGCTATAGAGCTTCTGATGAAATTCAATTCTTGTCATTTATATTGAAAGCTTTAAAGGGTCCATAAGGAAACTTCAAAGGGTCTGTTTTAGCGTTTAACTTTGACGTGTCATAACATTATGAAAATGCCGTACAATTAAATATGAATTTTAAAAACCATGTAATTGATAAAAAGAGATGCACTTTCCCTAAAGGGAAAAATAGTATCCCAAAAGTTTCTTATTTTTAGTTCTCTTTTATAAAATAAAGATCTATTCCAGACTTCCATAAGTAAGTTCTAATTCCTATCATAAGTTCAACATTAAAAGATAACTATTTAAGACAATGGAAGTTCCAGTAAAATAAATCAAAGTTTCCTATTAAATAACAAATTCTACCCTTTTAAAGAAGTAGATGAGCCAAAACCGGTTTGGCTCAGTGGATAGAGCATCGGCCTGCGGACTGAGAGGTCCCAGGTTCGATTCTGGTCAAGGGCATGTATATTGGTTGCGGGCACATTCCCAGTAGGGAGTGTGCAGGAGACAGCTGGTCAATGTTCTTCTCTCATCAATGTTTCTAGCTCTTTATCCCTCTCCCTTCCTCTCTGTAAAAAATCAATAAAAAAATAAAAAATAAAAAAAATAAAATATATATATATATATATATATATATATATATATACACACACACACACACACATATATGTATATATATATGTGTGTGTGTGTGTGTGTATACACACATATATTTTTTAAAGTAGATGAAAAAATCCCAAACATATATATGTACAAAGTTGGGAGGACAAACCTATTTCTATAACAAGAAAGATGTCATTAAGCTATGTCAATTAAATCATACTTACCAAGGCATTAATATCCAACATAGAATGACATTCTTTAAATTTTGAAATCTCTTGTTCCAGTGTGTCTAATAATACAACTTGGTTCTGTCTGAAACAAAAGCACACAGCCAAAATAAACATTACAAACTGTAAGTGCTGATTCATTAAAAGAAATCACATTCATCTTGTTTAATGTTGAAGGTAGAAATTAAGTTGGAAATTTATTGATTCTCCAAGACTTATTAGGTTCAGCATAATCTTTTTCAAAATAATATTTCAAAGCCACATTCTGATAGCCAAATGTATCTTTTACTCTTCCTTCAATTTCAGATTCTAGTAACTAAAATGACCAAGTCATTTAAAATTATTACTTGTTATTTTGGGCAATTTTCTGTATTATCCAAAAAAAGATTTTTTTATGCTATCTTGCCAAAGAAACTTGATATTTTATTTATATTAAAACTGGAAGAAAACCACAAACAAGGTAAGGAGAAGTGACTTTTTAGAGTTGGGGGAAAAATCCAGGATTACCAAGGGATCTAAAGGAATAAATAGGAAACAAGATGAAAACAAAACAAAACTAAGAATCACAAGATTCCCCTACCAATAATCAGTTGTGTGATCTTAGTTTATTTTTCTAAATTTCTTCATTTATAAAGTGAGAAGGTCAGACCACATAATTTTGAAGGTTACTCAAAAATTCTGATTCAAACCTTTTACTGAGAAAGAGAAACCAACTTTCCTAATGATACCTAATAATACCAGTACCTCTCTAGATCCTAGTAATTAATACTAGGATCACAGGAATAAGTGGCACTGAAAGGTCATCTAACTAAATATTTTAAAAAATACTATTGACAAAAAAATAAAATAAAATAAATAATTTACTTGCAAAACTATGCTAAACAAAGGGCAATTATGAGAAAAAGAATAACAATGAAGAGACTGAGGGCAGTTACAGCATCGCCACCATCCAGCACCCAGAGGTCCTAGGTTTTTCCCATCAGCTCTGACCGGAAACCACAGCAGGTGAAACACAGAAAGGATGGATGATAGGAGAACCCAGTAAGTCAATAAAGCAAATACAGGGCTGCTATGACTAGAAAATAATATAGAAAAATCAACAAAACCAAAAGTTGGTGCTTCAAAAGATCAATAAAATTGATAAACCTCTCACCAGACTAACAAAAAAAAAAAAAAGAGAAAAGATATGAATTACTAACGTAATTTATTAGAAAGGTAATCATCACCACTGATCCCATTACATGAAAAGGATAATAAAGAAGTATTTTCAACAACTTTGTGTCTGCAAATTTGGTAACTTAGATGAAAATGACTACTTTCATGAAAGACAAAATCTACCAAAACTCACACAAGAAGAAACAGATAATCTAAGTAGGCCTATACCAAGAACTCAAATACAAGCGAAAGTTTATTTAGAAAGTCACAGAAATAGAAGAAGTGAGCTGTGGAAGAGGGAGCCGGCTGGGCTGCATGGACTCTGGAAACAAGTTACAGAAGCAGAATAAGGCCCTTGGAGCTAAGGAGAAAAGCAGCAAATGTACTTTGATTTGTGTCTTGAGGGGAAGGAAAGGTGTACAATCAAGAGAGACAGTCAGCTTTGGATTATTTGTCTTACATGTTTTTATCTGTTTTCTAAAGTCGGGAATCTTGGTAGAGGTCTCAGGGGAGGATCTCAATAAATATTCATCAGTTTATCAGGTGTGTCCTTTAGGGTCGTGGTCTCTACTGGCTGGTCAGCAGGAGGTTAGGGGTCATCAGTCATTGCACCTGGTCTTGATGTCAGCCACAGCTATGCTTTGTCGAGTTTTGCTGCTTTTCTAGGCCTGCAGCTGAGATCTAAAGGTTATCTCTATCAATAGTTTGACCAAAACTGTGTCTCAGTACCTGAGGGTTTGTTCCTGATGCAGGTCAGAACCTCATTGTCCTGAGGGCTTTAAGGCTCAAGGTGTGGTCATGCAAGGACTTGTATGGGAGTCATACAAGGCTATTTTCCTGTCCTCTTGATCCTCCTCTAAGGAGATCTACCACAAGACTAGGGACATGCCAGGGGACGAAAGGTCAGGGGAGGATGACCTACAATATGAAAGGTAAGGGGATCTAAACTGCATGACCAGCCAAAACCGGTTTGGCTCAGTGGATAGAGCGTCGGACTGTGGACTGAAAGGTCCTAGGTTCGATTCCGGTCAAGGGCATGTACCTCGGTTGCGGGCACATCCCCAGTAGGGGGTGTGCAAGAGGCAGCTGATTGATGATTCTCTCTCATCGACGTTTCTAACTCTCTATCCCTCTCTCTTCATCTCTGTAAAAAATCAATAAAAATATATTTAAACTGCATGACCAACTATATGCTAGGGGAAGAAAGGTCACCCTGAGGGCAAAGTCCCACTCCACAATACTTGTTTTTCCAATGTTGTCCATTGCTAGGCACCCAGGACTTTCCGCCCTAGTGACCTGTACCTGCCTATTGTTCCTACTCTGCTCATGTCTAACTGCCAACAATGTATTTACTAGAAAGATTGAATTAATAAGTAATAATCTCCCAGAATGAAAGCACCAGGACCAGACATTTTCACTGGTGACTTCTAACAAACATTTAAGGAAGAAATTATGCCCATTTTCTACAGTCTCTTCCAAACACAGAAGTAGAAAGATCATTTCCTATGAGGCCAACAAAACCCTAAAATCAAAACCCAGATAAAGGAAAGGAAAATCTACAGACCAATATATTTCATCAGCATAGATGCAAAAATTCTCAATAAGATATTGACAATCAAATTTGACAATGCATAAAAAGAATTATACACCAGTCCTGGCCATTATAGCTCAGTTGGTGGAGCTACCGTTCCGTGTACCACAGGGTTGCTGATTCTGTTAGGAGCAAAAATAGAATATTGGGGACTAGCTATAGTTTTAAGAAATACTAAACATGCTCAGTTTAACCATGATTGCATTGCTCTTATTAAAGAACCTGGCTAGGAGTTGTACATGCCTGGGACCTGAGGGTCAACCTTGGAATGTCCATTCTCATTCAAGAACTACTTAATATGGAAAGATTAATAACCTTGTTAGCCAAATGGAATTCAACCCCAGCCCGCATTGCCTGTAATCCCAACTTCCCCATGTAATGTTTGTCCAATCCAATATAAGCAGCTGGCTTATGGGGTATTGGAGAGCAGATTTTTGTGGCTGACCTGCTGCTCTCCCATACTACCGGCAGTATTGGAATAAACGCTCTTATGATTCAACCCTGTCTGCTGAATTGGCTAAAGTAGTGACAGGCAACCCAGACTCATTAGTTGTCCAGTTTTACTTCAATTCCAGGTCAAGGCATATATCCAGGTTGTAGGTTTGATCCCTGGTCAGGATCTGTATGGGAGGCAACCGATCTATGATGCTCTCTCACACTGATGTTTCTCTCTTTCGCTCTCTACCTTCCTTTCTCTCTACATCAATATAAATATGTTTTTAAAGTATTATACACCACAACCAAGTACAATTTATTCTAAGTATACAAAGCTGGTTCAATATTTGAAAAGCAGGAAGCTAAAGAAAAAAATCTTATGGTCCTATCAGTTGATGCAGAAACAGCATTTAAATCCAATACCATTCATGATTAAAAACACTCTCAACAAACTAAAAAAAACCTATAACTAACATCACACTGTGGTGAGAAACTAGTTGTTTTCCCCCCACAATCAGGAACAAGGAAAAGATGTCTATTCTCACTTCTTGTCTATATGATACTGGAAGTCCTAGCTAAGGCAAAACAAAAAGGAAAGAAAATAAAAGGCACACAGATGAGAAAGGAAAAAATATACAAATTACTAACATAATTAAGGAAGAAATTTTCAAAAAGATATAAATAATAGAGAAATATCCCAGGTACATGGAATAAAAGCCTCAATACGAAGGCCCTGATCAGGTAGCTCAGTTGGAGCACCGTCCTGATGCACCAAGATTGCAGGATAAATCCCTGGTCAGGACCACACAAGCATCAACCAATGAATGCATAAATAAGTGGAACAACAAAGAGATGTTTGTTTTTTTCAAATCAAATTTTTTTAAAAAGTCTCAATATTAAGTACCAATTCCTCCCAACTTGATCTATAGATTCAATGCAATCCCCATTTAAATCCCAGCAAGAAGAAAAAAGGAGGAGGAAGGGGGAGGGGGGAGGAGGAGGAAGAGGAGAAGAAGAAAAGAGGAGGAAGATGAGGAAGGGGGGAAGAAGCAGAGGAGTAGGAAGAAGAAAAGGAGGAAGAGGAGGAAAAAGGAAGAATTAGAAAAGAAATATGAACAATAAAATGGCAATAAATACATATCTATCAATAATTTAATCTTAAAAATCAAAATAAATGAAGAAGGAAGCTAATGAACAAAGTACTGATGAATAAAACAGAACCACAGGCATGGGAACATGGAACAGACTGATAAATCTCAGAGGGAAGGGGTAAGGGGTGGGGGTAGGAAGAGATTAACCAAAGAACTTATATGCATATATGCATTACCTAAGAACACAGACAATAGGGTGGTGAAGGCCTGGGGTAGGGCAGGAACTGGTGAAAGAGAACAATGGGGACATCTGTAATACTCTCAACAATAAATATTTTTAAATAAATAAAAAGAATATTAAAAAATTAAAAATTAAAAAAGATACTTAAGATCCTAACTGCTTTGGTTCAGTGGACAGAGCATCGGCCTGCAGACTGAAAAGTCCCAGATTCGAATCCAGTCAAGGGCTTCATTCCCAAGTAGGGGGTGTGCAGGAGGCAGACAGTCAATGATTCTCTCGTCACTGATGTTGCTATCTCTCTCTCCCTCTTCTTTTCTCTCTGAAATCAATTAAATATATATCCTTTTAAAAAGATACCTAAGGATTTCTGGCAACTTGTGAGCCAGCAATTGAATACAAATGTGACTCTTACGGAAGCAATTTTGCAATTCTACTCAATGGCCATCCTGCAACATTCCCAATAGACAAGACTTTCATAAAATAATAGTAAAATACCAAAAGCTAATCAAAGTCTAGATAAGATTTAGGGGTACTTCTTAGAAGTCAAACACCCTAGAAGTATTCTTTTCACTTTTTATATTTAGACTAGAGGTCCAGTGCACAAAATTCGTGAATGGGGGGGGGGGGGGAGGGGGGAGAAGAGGTGTCCCTCAGCCCAGCCAGCATCCTCTCCAACCTGGGACCCCTCAAGGGATGTCCAACTGCCCGTTAGGCCCGATCCCACCAGACAGTCGGACATCCCTCCCACAATCCAGGACCACTGGCTTCCAACCACTCACCTGCCTGCCTGATCAACCCCTAACCACTCCCCTGCCAGTATGATCAACAACTAACTGCTCCTCTGAGGGCCAGATTGCCCCTTACTGCCCTCCCCTGCTGCCTGATCATCCCTAACTGCCCTCCCCTCAGGCCTGGTCCCCCCAAATGCCCTACCCTGAAGGTCTGGTCTCCCCTCCCAACTGCCCTCCACTGCAGGCCTCATCGCCCCCAACTGCCCTCCCCTACAGGCCTGGGTCCCCCCCAACTGTCCTCCTCTGCCTGCCCAATCACCCTTAACTGCCCTCCCTGCTTGCCTGATTGCCTACAACTGCCCGCCCCTACTGGTCTGGTCCCAACTGCCCTCCCCTGCAGACTGGCCCCCCTAACTTCTCTCCCCTGCAGGCCTGATCGCCCCTAACTGTCCTCCCTTGCAGGCCTGGACCCTCCTCTCAACTGCCCTCCCCTGAAGTCCTGGTCCCCCGCAACTGCCCTCCCTTGGAGGCCTGGTTATACCCCAAACTGTCCTCCCCTGCAGGCCATCTTGTGGCAGCCATCATGTGTGTTGGAGTGATGGCCAATGTGCATATTACCTCTTTTTTTATAGGGTAACTATGAACTCCTCTACTCACCTGCTATCAGTAAAGATATAGAAATGCCCAATTGAATAACATGTTACAAAACAATATACCTTAATACAATATATACTTATACAGTAAATGACTCTACCAGAGGGAAATGAGGGCACCTCTGGTTTTTGTTAGCTCACGTGAGTTCCTGGAGGGCTTGTTTTGATCTCTGCAGATCTGGCAGGTAGTGAGAAAGCAATCCTTCTGCAAGTTGCTCCACAGCTTTCTCTTCCACAGTCAAGTCCTCTATTAACCCTTCATCTGGAGAAGCATCACTTAAACCTGTCCCCAAGCAAAAATCAAATTTAGGAAGCTTTTAAGTTGACACAGGAATGAGAGAGTAGTAGGCAGGCAGGGAAGGAGGCTGGCGGTGGGGTTCAGCACACATGTATGAGGCAGTACAGGTATCCTTTTCTCCTATTTTCTCTTTTACTTTCTGAGTATCCTTTTAAAAAAGGACTATGAACACTCAAAACATATTTTTTAAGCTAGTAGTATAATGTGAAGTCTATCATACAGGGCGGGACAAAAGTAGGTTTATAGCTGTGAGTAAATGAAACACAGTTTATTCTTGTATTATTATTTATTAATTATTGTATTATTTTCCATCCAAACAATTGTAAACCTGTATACTCGTATACATTTTAACTCACAGAGCCCTTTCTTACTCTGCCCCAACTGTCTAGTTAATTACCGGAAATGTCCAAGTTTTCACATACATTTAGTTACTAAGTTCAAGATATTTTGTTGTGGGAGATTAAAGAAAAAAAAGGGGCTCTGTATTCTATACATATAAGTAACATTTGCTGCATGTCTATATCATGTATTAGTTTCTGAGTATAACAGTAAATTAGGAAAGTATCCTTCTGTGAGAGGTGCCATTAGAGAAACCGAAACTCAGAGGGGAATTCAGAGGACAGAAAGACCACGTTCACCAGAGAAATCTGGGAACAATGCCTAAAAGGGGTGTGGGCATTTGTGCTGAAGCTTGTAGAATGGATGAAATTTTCATTTATTTCTCTTTTTTTAAAAATGTTACTCTTATAAAAATTTAAAACACAAAGATGAAAAGTGAAAATACTTCTTCTCATGCCCTTAGATTCATTCTGGAGTTTCTTACACAGCCTTCAAGAAACTGTCTTTCGCCGAAACTGGTTTGGCTCACTGGATAGAGCGTCAGCCTGTGGACTGAAAGGTCGCGGGTTCAATTCCCTGGTCAAGGCCATGTACCTTGGTTGCGGGCACATCCCCAGTGGGGGGTGTACAAGAGGCAGCTGATCGATGATTCTCATCAATGTTTCTAACTCTCTGTCCCTCTCCCTTCCTCTCTGCAAAAAAATCAATAAAAATATATTTTTAAAAAATAAAAAAAAATAAAAATAAGAAACTGTCTTTGCATACCCATGCAAAAACCCTGTTTTTATCACAAATGAAATATTAGTTGTATTTTTCTACAACTTTTCTCTTAAATATATGTTACATCTTTCTAAATTAACATATGCATATAGTAGTTTTACTACATTATTTTTTTAAGTTAATAGAATTTTAACATAGTTTAACCAACTCCCTATTGTTTTGGACTGAATTGTGTGTGTCCCGGCCAAAATTCATGTTGAAGCCCTAACCTCCATGTAAGGGTATCTGGTGATGGGGCCTTTGGGAAGTTTAAATGAGGTCATGAAGGTGGGTGAGATTCTTGCCCTTAAAAGAAAAGGAAGAGAATCAGAATTCTCTGCCTCGACCATGTGAAGATCAGAAGATGGTCCTTATCAGGACCCTAATCTGCCAGCACCCAGATCCTGGACTTCCCAACCTCCCTATCTGTGAAGAATAAATGTCTGTCATGTAAGCCACCCAGCCTACGGCACTTTGTTACGGCAGCCCGAGTACACTAAGACACCTATGGATGAGTACTTAGGTTTTTTCACTTCGTGCTATTTCAAACAATGTTGCAGTAAGCTTTCTCCCTTGTCTTTCCAAATCCGTGTCACTGTTTTTGTAGGGCGAATTCTTAGAAATAGACGGATGGGACAAAGGTTTATGCATTTTTAATAGGCGTTGCAAAACTGCCTTCTTAAGAGATGGCAATAATTGACTCCTGCCAACTATCTGAGAGCTATTATTTCCAAATGGGTAAGTATGTATGAAGACAGGATTGAAAGGAATACAATATGGGAAAAGAAAGCCACATGAGGAAAAGTAGGAATACAGCATTGCTCTGAATAGAGAAGGTAGTGGGAGCATGGGACATAAGAGTTGTGAGCTATGTGAACCACATGGCCAGCCTAGGAGGACCCCTGAGGGCCAGGCTAATGGGTTATTTTAGTAAGTAGTTAGGAGCCACTTAAGGCTTCCGAGCAAGGAAATGTCATGATTGGAGCTTTATCTTGGAGCACTGATGTGACAGCAGTGGGACAGATGAGGAAGAAGAGTAAGAGACTGGGAGCAGAGCCCTTCCGGTGTAGAAGGAGATTAGCATTACAACTTGTAACGATGAAAATACGAAGAGGAAATGAAGGTTCTCAACATTTCTAAGGCAGCGACCCTATACTACAGTTCCTCATGTTGTGGTGACCCCCAACCATAACACTATTTTCATTGCTATTTCATAACTAATTTTGCCACTGTTAATGAATTGTAATGTAAATATCTGTGTTTTCCGGTGGTCTTAGGTTCTATAGCAGCGATTCTCAACCTGTGGGTTGCCTAAGACCATTGGAAAACCCAGATATTTACATTACGATTCATAACAGTAGCAAAATTACAGTTATGAAATAGCAACGAAAATAATTTTATGGTTGGGGTCACCACAACATGAGGGACTATTTTAAAGGGTCAAGGCATTAGAAAGGTTGAGAACCACCGCCCAAGATTAAACAGAAGTTGGAGGCAAGTGAGAGGAAAAAGTTCAGGGTAACACCAAAGTGAGAGTGACTTGGCACCATTAATAGGATCAAATATCTCCTTTTATTTATGGACACGCTATGAGATCAGTGCAACAGAACCATGTCAAAGTACCAATCAAGCAGATGAAAAAAACGAACTGAGAGGGACCCAAACTTCACATATAAACAGGGAAGTTATATTTACAGAAGCAATTTATGAAGGTAGGGAGAGAGGGAGATCACCAAGAAAGGACTGAGCCCTATTTTTTCGGTAACCCCTATATTTCTGGAACAAGAGGGGGAAAAAGAGAGGGTCCCTTATCTGCCACAGAACATGACTCTGCTTTGACGACTTTCTCAATCCTCCCAAGGAGGGCTCAGAAATAGTACCATTCCGGATGCATAGCAAGTCAACCCATTGCATTCCATGGATCCTTAGGGCTTAAATCGCTCTGGGAACTGCTGGAGGAACAGGGATGCAGCAATGTCAACAAGCAAGGCGGAGCACTGGGTAACTTCTAAGTTACAAAGCGATCACCCTGACAAATTCATTCTCAACCACTAACGTGTAACAAATAGCTAACAAGGAGCTGGCGTCACGTACACGCAGAACGACTTAACCATCAACTGCTTCCAACTCCACCCCGAAAGCACCGCTTCCCCCTGCAGATCTCGTGTCCCCCCCCCCCCCCCCCCGAGTCCGCAGGGCGCGGGCCAGCTCGGTGCCCACTTCCGCGTCGCTCGGGGCCGCGGCCGCCAACGCCGCTCAGTCCCCGGAGCGCCCCGGCCGCCCGCCCCGCCCGCAGCACGTACCGGGCGTCCGCTCCCCGGCTCCCAGGCCGGCGGGCGGCCCTGGCAGGACCCCGTCCGACAGCGGCGGCTCAGGGACACTCATGTCCCTCCGCTGGGAGCAGGGCAGGGACGGTAATGCAGACGGTCAGACACAGTGAGGCGGGCTAAGCGCGTCCCGCGCCCCGCCGGACCGATCCGGCAGTCGCACCCGGAAGTACCGGAAGCGGAAGCCAGCGGGCTCCGGGCACGTGACCGCGGTTCCGCCCCCTGACCGTTCCGCCTCCAGCATTCCCCTCACCCCGTTGCTCCGGGGACTCCGCTCTGACGTCACAGGCGGGTCCAGGGAGCGGAGTCCAAAAGGTCTGCGCTGCGGGCTTGCTGCCCTGGGACCCACCGGAGCGGGACGGCGCGAGGGGCGGGAGGGTGAGAAGAGAAGAGGCTGCTCCCGGGGCCTCGCAGGCGGGCTCTGTAGAACTGGGCGGACAGTCGGGCTTACTTCGCGGAGGCCATGCACAGCTCTTCAGTTCTGTGTCTGTGTTAAGGTGACACCTTAAGTACTAGAACTGCGTGCCTTCCCCGCAATTTTGGACCATAGCTTCAGCCTTGCTGATTGGGGCATTGGCCAGCATACGGGTCTCCCCCTGTGGATTGTAGGTGAATGATTTAAGGCCTGGGTTGCAGCATCTACTGAACAAATTGAGTCATATGACTAAAAACTGCACTTACTGAGAAGGGGGTGGAAGGTGAGAGGAAGAAGAGCATGCAGGAGGCAGCCAAATCAGTGATTCACTCTCATCATTGATGGTTCTATCTCCCTCTCACTTCTCATACATGTAAAGTCAAACCTCAGAAACTTGTACCTGCAACCCCACTGCCCTTATCCGTGCATTCACACCCCTTCTTTTGGCCTCCCTCTCAAGAGTAGCTATTCCTTACCTGTAATAAGCAGAATGATGACCTCACCCCAAGATGTCCACAGTCTTAATCCCCAGAATCTGTTCCCATGTTAAATTTCACCAAAGCGGCTAATTAAGATTGCTAGTCACTTGATCATAACATAAAATAGATTATCCTGGATTATTGAGTGGCCCAATATAATCAATCACAAGGGTTTTCAACACTGGAGATGGAGGCAGAAAAGGAGAGTCAGAAGGGAGCTAGACTTTATATTTTTTTTTAATATATTTTATTGATTTTTCACAGAGAGGAAGAGAGAGGGAGAGTTAGAAACATCAATGAGATCGCTGTAGAGAATCATCGATCAGCTGCCTCTTGCACACCCCCTACCGGGGATGTGCCCGCAACCAAGGCACATGCCCTTGTCCGGAATCGAACCTGGGACCCTTCAGTCCGCAGGCCTACGCTCTATCCACTGAGCAAAACCGGTCCCGGCGGAGCTAGACTTTAAAAGTTAGAGAGTCACAACATTACTGGCTTTGAAAAGAGATAAAGGCGGCTACCTGCCAGGATTGTGGAGATCTCTAGAAGCTGGAAAATAGAAGGAAATGGATTTATCCCTAGAACCTCTAGAACCCTGCTGACACTTTAAATTTATCCCAATAACACTTTAATTTTATCCCAGTGTAACCTGACCTACAGAACTATCCTATATAATAAAGAGCTAATATGCAAATGGTCGTCAAGCCCTCTCACCATCAGGCCAGAAGGCTCAGACACTCAACACTGGGGAGAGAGGATGGGGACCAGCCAGGCACAAATGAGGTTACAAGAGATGAATGGAGACTAGCCAGTCTGTGGCCCAGGAGAGGGACAAGCCGCATGCCCCGCAGAGCCAGGAGTCAGCAGCTGCATCTGCACCTGCGGCCCCTGGAGGACAAGCCACATGTCCTGTGGCCCTGAGCACCAGCAGCTGTGCCTGTGCCTATGGCCTGAGGGGGTGGGGGGTGCGGGGGGAGGGAGGACAATCTGCATGCTGGATGGTCCCCGCAGTCTCGGGTGCCAGCGGCTGCACCTGTACTTGTGGCCCTGGAGAGGAACAAGTCACCTGCCCTGCAGTCCCAGACGCCTGTGGCTGAGGCCTGAGAGAAGGACAAGCTGCCCGCCCTGCAGTCCGGGGTGCCAGCACCAGTGCCTGCAGCTGCAGCCTGTGCAAAGCTGCCCACCCACGTCACCTGTGGCTGCAGCTGGCCCAGAAAATGCTGGCCCAGGTCCTGGGTGCCTCTACAACCTGCCAGAGGAGAAAATCCTGGGTCCTGGGTGTGGGGCAAGGCAGAGGCAGTTAGGGGTGATCAGGCCAGCAGGGGAACAGTTAGGGGCAATCAGGCAGACTGGCAGAGGTGTTTAGGGGCAATCAGGCAGGCAGGTGAGTGGTTAGGAGTCAGCAGTCCCAGATTGTAAGAGGCAATCCCCCTAGGGGTCCTGGATTGGAGAGGGTGCAGGCCGAGCTGAAGGATCCCCTTCCTGTGCACAAATTTACTACACCAGGACTCTAGTCCTATATAATAAAAGCATAATATGAAAATTGATCAAATGATGGGACAACATTTGGCAGGGGGCGGGGCCAGTGAGCAGATGACACCAGGCCAGCGAAGGCTTGTGCCAGCTGGCAGAGGGAGGGGACAGCAATGGGGGCAGAAGAGCAATGGCGGGAGGCCACAGGTAATGGTGGGGGGGCGGGGGGCAGGGCCAGCCACTGGCCAGCTTCTGCCATCCCCTGATCAGCTGCCAGTCGCCTCCCCATGGAGAGTGGGCCTAAGCCATCAATCAGACATCCCCTGAGGGCTCCAGGACTGTGAGAGGGCACAGGCCCGGCTGAGGGACACCCCCACCCTCCAGTGCACAAATTTTCATGCACCAAACCTCTAGTAAGATAATAAGACTTGTATTGTTTTAAGTTTGTAGTAATTTGTTACCATGGCAATAGGAAAGTAATGCATTACCCTTCAACCATCCTTTGTTCCATTCAAGCATGAAATGTCTCCAATGCTCTTGCTCATGCTTCTGCCTGGGATGTTCTATCCAATGACCTACTCATCTTTATTTTTTTCTTTTTTCTTTTATTTATTTATTTTTACATATTTTATTGATTTTTTTTCCTACTCATCTTTCAAGGCTCAGCCTAAATAATACCTTGAATTTTAAATCATTCACAATTCTACCTCCCATTCAACTTTCAGAAATTACAGTAATAACTTTTTCTCAATACAAAGAGCCCTCCTGCTATTTAGCACTTAATATATTCTTGTATTAGTCATTTCCCCTGACTTTATTATATTGCAAACTTCAAACAGAAACTGTTATTCACAGAGAACACATAATAGGTCCCCAATAAATATTTGCAATTAATGAGAGTTCCTGTTGCTTCAAACATTTGTTGGTGTCAATATTCTGGATTTTGGCATTCTAATAGGATGTAGTGGTAACTTATTGTTTCTTTAATTTGTAATTCCTATTGATATATAGAATATCTTTTTATATGCTTATTTGTCATCCATGTATCTTCTTTGGTGAGGTCTCTGTTCAGATCTTTTGTCCATTTTTAAATAAAGCTGTTTTCTTCTTAACTTTTAAAGAATTGTTTTTTTAAGATTTTGGATAGCAGCCATTTATCAGGTACTATATCTTTTGAAAATATTTTCTTCAAGTCTGTGGCTTTTCTTCTCATTCTCTTGACAGATTTTTTAAATGAAAACTTGAAGGGTACCTAAAGTAGTGTGTGTGTTAATGGAAAGAGGGCAGGTTCTCTAATCTCCCATAGAGTTTTGAAATTTATATGTACGGGCATCTTTCTGAAGGTTGCAGCATGGAAATACCCAAGTATTTGATGTCAAAAGACATGTTTCATTACTAAGATATTTACTAGTTAGGATATTTTGGTTACAAGTAAAGAAGTCCAAACCTATTTAAACAAAACAAGGAATTCACTGACTCACTGAACTTGAAAATTCAAGAGTTGATCTGGCCAGCTTCAGGCATAGCTATGTTTCCTCAAATAAAATCAGAATGTCTTGCCCTGGCCAGCATTGCTTGGTGGTTAGAGTGTCAGCCCACCACTTTCTTTCTCTCTCTCTCCCTCTCTTACCATATGTATGTATGTGTGTGTGTGTGTATATATATATATATATATATATATATATATATATGTGTGTGTGTGTGTGTGTGTGTGTGTGTGTGTGTCTGTGTGTCTGTGTGTCTGTGTGTCTGTGTGTACATATATATATTGTTCCCGCCCCCCCCCCCACTAGGATTTCCCCTGCATTAGCTTTACTCTAGCAGTCCTCTCTGGAAAATAGCTCCAAGATTTCAAGTTCCTTACATCTCTCAAGTGAAGCCCTCTCACTCCTAGAATTTATTTATTTATTTAAAAATAAAAACTCACTCTTGCATCTTGGCCACCAACATGTCATCCAGGTTGAAGAAGACCCAGAAACTTCAGGGCCATGTGAGCCACAGCCACAGTCCTATTGGCAAGCACAGGAAGCACCCGGAAGGCCAAGGGAGTGCTGGTGGCTTGTGCCATCATAGAATCAGCTTCGACAAATATCACCCAAGCTACTTTGGGAAGGTTTTGTAAATGAGGCATTACCACTTAAAGAGGAAGCAGAGCTTTTTGCCCAACTGTCAACCTTAATAAACTGTGGACTCTGGTCAGAAAGCAGACGCAGGTAAATGCTGCCAAAACAAGACTGGAGCTGCTCCTATCGTTGGTGTGGTGCAATCTGGCTACTACAAAGTTCTGGGGAAGGGAAAGCTCCCAGAGCAGCCTGTCATTGTGAAGGCCAAGTTCTTAGCAGAAGAGCCAAGGAGAAGATTCAGGGTGTTGGCGGGGCCTGTGTCCTGGTAGCTTGAAGCCACATGGAGGGAAGTTCATAAAATGTCCACAAGTGAAAGATCAATCAATTAATAAAAATAACTCATATTTGGGCCAAAACCGGTTTGGCTCAGTGGTGGAGTGTTGGTCTGTGGACTGAAGGGTCCCGGGTTCGATTCCGGTCAAGGGCATGTACATTGGTTGCGGGCACATCCCCGGTGAGGGGCGTGCGGGGGGCAACTGGTCAATGTTTCTCTCTCATCGACGTTTCTGGCTCTCTATCTCTCTCCCTTCCTCTCTGTAAAAAAATCAATAAAATATATTTTAAAAATTTTTAAAAATTAAAAAAAAAAAAACTCATATTTGGATCCCATATCAACCTGTATACCAGTCTCTGCAACCGGGGGATGTAGAGATTTCTCATGAGCCAGTGTGGGTCACATGTTAGCACAG